GAGGACCTGCGCCCCCTGCTGGACCTGCCCCCACAACTCAGGAAAATGCGGAGGGGGGCCCTGTCCACCCCTCCACGCTTCTCAGGGCAATAACACTGGGTGGGGGGGGTTGGGGGGGGTCCTTACCCCCCCACCCAGCCCTGCTGGCACCGGTGAGACAGCACTGGAGAGAGAAGGCCACGTCCTGCTGGGCACCGGGTGCCTGTGGGGGAGGCCCAGCACAGAGGGGGACCAGGACCCCCCTCCCCCCACCCTCGACCTTGTTTACACTGAGCCTGAAAGGTCGTCAGGGTCCTTGTCAATTAACTAATTCATTAATTTTATTATAATTAATTAGTATTATTATTGCTATTGTTCAAGGCCAGTGAGGCCATTAAAACCGGAGAGTGGAAAGCGAGGGGTGCTTGTCTGGGCCGGGGTGGGGGGCGCACCCAGGCGTCCGGCCCTCCTCCGTCGCCCCGACTCGCCAGCTGCTGCTGGAGGGATCCCATTTCAGGGCAGAGCCGTCTCTCCATGTGGCGAGAGTGGATCCCTCCTGTCTCAGGGTGGATCCCAGGATCCTGTTCCAGGATAGATCCGTCTGCCACGGGGAGACTGGATCCCCTTTGCTGTGGGGTGGATCCCATTTTAGGGTGATTCCATCTCTCCGTGAGATGGAAATGGATAGCAAAGTCGGGAGTGGATCCCAGGCCCACACTTCCTGGTACCCAGGGATCCCAGCACCTTCCAGCTCCGCCAATAGATCCCCAGGAATCCAGAGGGATCCATGGATCCTGTTCTAGGGTGCGCAGGGCCCAGGGATCCCAGCATCCTCCAGTCCCATCAACAGATCCCAAGGGCTCCACGGCTCCTCCCCCAGGGCACCCAGGGATCCCAGCACCTGCCAACACACCCCAAGAGATCCAAAGGGATCCACTATTCCTGTTCTGGGGTGCGCAGAGTCCAAGGATCCCAGCCTCCTCCAGGAGCACCAGTAGATCCCACGGGATCTTGAGGGATCCCTCCAGCCCCTACTGAGGCTGAGATCTCTCAGCTTGCCCGCAGAATCCCCTGGCCCCAGTTATGGTAACTCTGCCCCGGGGGTGGGCGTTTATTGCCCCCAGCATTGCCTGTTAGTGTCCCGCGGGGGTCTGCCCCCCCCATGCGCCGAATCGCCCCCTTCTCACCCCCAACCAAGGCTGGATCCCAGCATCGCCCTGCCCCGAGAGGTGGGGGCGCTGTATTCCCCAGCCCCGATGCCCCCCCAGAGCCCAGGGATGCAGCTGGCTCTGTGCTGGGCAGGCACACGGGGCCTACCCCCGCCGCCTCTGTGCCTCAGTTTCCACACCCCCCCCCGTGCAGATGAGGGTGATGACGTCCTCCCCCCACGTCAGCCACCTGGATTAGGGCTCCGCTTATCCCGGCCCCGCCGCTCCTGGGGTCACTCCCGGAGCCCGGAGCCAGGGGTCGGGCGGGAGAAGCTGGAAAGATTCATCCCGTTCAGCAGCTTCTGGGCCAGCGACGCCGCAGGTGAGGGAAGGACCCGGGCGCCCAGCCCCCCACTCCCCTCTCACCACCAACCCCACTTCTAACCCTACAAACCCCACCAGACCTCTCCCAGAGCTTGGACGGACCCAGGTGTCCAGCCCCCCTGCTCTCACCCCCAGCCCCTACTGCCTTTCCTGAGCTGAGGAGAACCCAGGCTCCCAGCCCCCCCTCCCCTCCCAGGGAGCCCGGGCACCCTCCAGCGCTGGGAGGGAAGTGGGGGCTGCTGGGTAAGAGCAGAGGGGCCCGGGCCCGGGACGCCTGGGCTCTCTCCAGTGCTGGGAGGGGAGGGGAGGGGAGGGGAGGGGGTTAGGGCAGCCCCAGCCTCACCCCAGAAGCAGCCACATCCGAAGCTGGGGGATGAGGTTGGCTTCTCCTGCCTCACTCAGGGAGGTCTGCCAGGGTGGATTTGAACCCACATCTTCCTGGCCTGGATAAACCCCCCCGGGGCTGGTTCCAAGGGGGCCCTGCTGTGCTGTGCCGTGCCGTGCAGCCAGCTCTGGGGTGAGCCCTGGGGAGCAGCAGAGTATAACAGGGCTGGAACAGGTCAGACAAGACCTCCCCCCCGCCCCACCTCAAAGGCCCTTCTAGCCCCACTTCTTTGTGGTCCCAGAGCCAGGATGATCCCAGGTCACCTTCAAGGGCTCAGGCTGTGGTGCAGGAAAGGGAGCCCAGAGCTGCTTAGAGCTAATGGGATTGGGGGGGAGGGAAAGCTCCTTAATTGGTTGATGAGATTAAAGGGTGCCCAGTGGGGGATGCTGGGTAAGAAACTGCAGCTGGGTTCAGGGGTGGCTGCTCGTGGGGATAGAAGTCAGGTGTCGGGCTCCCAGGCCCCAGTCCCTCTCCCTTCCCAGAGCTGGGCAGAGGACCCAGGTGTCCCAGTTTCCCTCCCACCTCCCCAGCCCCATTCCCCTCCTGCAGCAAGAGGGAGCCCAGGCATTTGGGCTCCCCTCCCCACCCGTCTCACCCCAGCACATCCCACCCCCAGCCATGTCCCGGGAGCAGATGGAGTCGGTGGTGAAGACGGTGGAGACCCTCCTGGCTGAGGCCGAGCAGCTGCGGGGCCGGTGCCGGCGGCAGAGCGAGGAGCTGGGCCTGGCCGTGGCCGAGCTGCAGCGGGAGAACCGAGAGCTGGCCCGCAAGTACGCCCAGGCCGAGGCCGAAATGGAGGAGATGCGCAAGGCACTGGCCGAGCTCATAGACATCAAGATGGCCTTCGAGGCCCGGGAGCGCCAAGTCCGGAAGCTCAGCAAGCAGCTGTGAGACCTGCCGGGCGTGGGACTAGAACCCCTGACTAGTGGGCGATGAGGCTGCCCAGAAGTGGGATTAGACACCCCCCCACCTGACCTGCCAGGTGTGGGATTAGAGCCCCTGACTAGGCGGGTGTTAGTCTGCACAGGGGTGAGATTTGAACCCGTGACCAGCTGGGTGCGGGAGTAGAACCCCTAACCTGCTGGGTGTGAGAGTAGACTCCTCGGCCCACCGGATGTGGGATTAGAAACCCTGAAGAGCCAGGTGCGCAGTGGCCCAAGGTGGGATTTAAACCCCTCAACTCGCCAGTCGTGGGATTAGAACCCCTGACCTGCCAGCTATGGGATCAGAGCTCCCGCCAGGCTAGGTGTGAGATTAGACCCCTTGATTTGATGGGTGTGGGATTAGAACCCCTCACTAGCCACGTGTTAGGCTAGGCGAGGGTGGGATTTGAACTCTGACCTGCTGGGTGTGAGATTAAACCCCTACACACATGAGGTGTGGGATTAGACCCCAGGACTAGCAGGATGCAGTGGCCCAGGGTAGGATTTGAACCCCCAATGGGCTGGTTGCAGGATTAAAACCCCTGATTTGGCTGCTGCCATGCTGGGAGTAGGATTAGACTCCTCCCACCCGACTCCCAGGGTGTGAGGCTGCACCAGGGCTGGGTCTAGACCCTCTCCCCTCCCCGCAACCAGCCAACAGTGGGATTACAACCCCCACCCTGCTGGGTGTGAGGCTGGTTGGGGCAGGACTTGAACCCCCACCCACCCAAGCTGAAAGCCAGAAATTAGGCTGCCTGGGGCAGGCTTTGAACCCCCAGCCGGCTGGGCAGTGTGGGCCCTATCAGCCTGGCAGGGCTGGAGATGTGAGAGCCCAGATGCCTGGGTTCCCTCCAGTGCTGGGGAACAGCCACAGTCACTGCAATGGAAACCAGCCACGAAGACGCCCCCGTCGCGCTTGCACCTGATCAGCCAATAAAGAGCAGGAACCAGGGATGTGGCCACGCTCGTGTGTGCATGTGCGCACATGTCCCGGATACCTGAGTGCTGCGTGCGTGTGTGCATGTCCCAACCCAGAGCTGGGCGCATCTGGGTGTGCGCGTGGCCGTTCCACCCTAGAGCTGAGCTCTGGCCTGAAGCCTGCACCGGGCGCATGTGGCTGCATGTCACACCCCAGAGCAGAGCACACCTAGGAGCCGGGGGCATGATTCATCCCAGAGCTGGGTGTATCTGGCTACATGTGGCACCCCAGAGCTGGGCACACCTGGGGACATGCATGTCTGTTCCACCCCACAGCTGGGTACATGGTTCACCCCACAGCTGGGAGCATCTGAGGTCGTGTGTGTCTGTTCCACCCCAGAGCTGGGCGCAGTGGGGAGCTGGTGCGTCTGTCCCTTGCTGGCATGGTGGCGGGCACGGGCTCAGCAGAGGACGCTGTGCAGGCGCAGGTCGCCGGTGATGCCCAGCTGGGTGAGGCAGGGCCAGGCCAGGCCGGAGGCATGGAAGGGCCCCAGCGGGACCCCATTGAGCGCCAAGCAGAACTTGCCCGCCGCATCCACCACCAGCAGCAGCTGCAGGCAGAGGGACAGGTTGGGGGTGGGGGGGGACGGCCCCCTCCCCCACATACATGGAGCCCAGGGGTCCGGGACACGCACAGAGCCCCCCACCCACACCCTGCAGCCGGTCGGTCCTGCCCTGCCCTCACCTGGAAGAAGCGGCGGGCGTGGAAGGGGAAGCCGTCCAGCACCTCATGGGCCCCCCCGGGGCCTTGGCACCACGTCAGGGCCCCAGTGCGGAAGCAGGCGGCCAGCACCAGGCCTGGCTCTGGGGGCGCCGCCCGCAGGCTGAGGCTGAAGCTGCAACCGGGGTGGGGGCAGGTGGAGAGGCAAAACCTCCTCCCGCCCTCACCACCACAACCCCGACCCCAGGTCCTCCAATAGCCTTCCCAGAATGCTCCACCCAGCCTACAAGATAGCAGACAAGTTCTGCTAGGAAGGCCGGCCTGAGGCTGGAGGCTGTGTGACACCCACCCGATGCCCCCCCTCCCCCCAATAGCCAGAGGGGGGTGGATCACAGCCCCAGCAAGGTGCCCCCTGGGGGCTACACCCAGTATCCCCCCCATTCAACCCCCCCCCATAGCCATGGGGGGCATCCTAGCCCTTCCTCTCTACCACCCCC